CTTTTACAAGCGGACATCAACGCAGTAGTATTTTAGCAAGCTTACGAACGCATATAGGATACCATCAGGATTGTCATTGGTAAGTTGAAGAGGAGATACTTGTACGATGTAAATGACAGTAGAAATAAGTCCTACATGTTGTTGTACTTCTTATTGGTTTAATATTCATGTAGAGTATGAGACATTAAGTGAAAGTTTTCTGAGGTACATCTGCAATTGTCGGAAGGCAAAAATAAATAAATAAATAGTATACACAGTGACCTTCCGCTGGTTCCGACGTCGCCTACTTCGGCCTATCATTTTCAGGTGCGGGGCAGCCGGAAGAACGCCCGAAGATACGCAAATACCCGCGGCAGAACACAGACCCAAGTTTCCGCACGCACGGACGGACGGACGGACGGACATACCTGTAGGCCAGGTCGATGAGGACAATCTGCTGCATTATCGTGAAGATGAAGGCGCCTATCCTCGCCACCCACACGTAGCCGCTCGTGTCGAAAACGTCGTTCGTGATGAACAACGTCGCGATCATCAGCACCGCCCACAGCATGAACTTGAAACCCCAGAAGCCGTGGTTGAACACCGGCGAGCAGCACGCGCACAGGGCCATCAACGCGAAGAACACCTGCGAATGTTCCACCGGCCAACACACGCACCGAGATCGATCGGAGGGTGTACGTGAAACGCCTGTGCCTTTGAGCGCACAATGTTTGATGCAGAGCTCACAGCAGTCCCGCCAGGTGGTACACTCCATCCACAGGTCGATCGTCACGAGCGATACGTAAATTTTCGCAGGCCAGTTTCGAGCCCATGCACAGACCCAGAGCGACCACTTATCCTACGCTTATACAAAGTATGACCGATATTTGTCTGCAAACGACGTTAGAATCGATCGTGAAAACAAATTCAGAGCACCGACTCCCTACCGGAGAGCTAGATTGGGGCCTCATGGTATTCGAGCAACAAGGGGGCTGACTCAAATATCGAATTCTCACGGAAAGCGGCAGCTCTCAGCCCCGTCGGATCCTCCGTACTTGCAACGCATACATCGCTGGGGCACACGCACTGATACTGAAGCTGATGCATTTAGCGCTTTGACTTAGCCGGCCGAATCCATGCCTACAGCAGCCAAATGTAATCGGCATCGGTACATGAATCCATCCGTCAAGCCGCCTCAAGAAATCCCGAGCACAAACAAGATGGACTCATCCTGTCAACACGTGCTGCTACTTGACTTGTTCAGTCCTTGGTGGAAATAATTAACTCCAGAGGTGGATGTCAGACGGAATGTCGAACTGCAATGTGACGACTATTTCTCCCTCCGCAGCCCGTTTAGGGCTTCGGCGGACAGCAAGCAATCTCACCGCATCCACGAAGCTGACCCGGTAGACGGCGGTGTTTCCGATGCACACGTCCGTGAACTCTTCCGAATAGGCCTCGTCTTCACAACTGCAGACAGAACGAGACATTTAGGGTGTGACAAGTTGATATTTCGCAGAGGAAAATACATGGTGTGGGAGGAAGAAAGAAACGGAGTGGTATCTCCACAGCTTCTTATCGGGGTACGCGAACTTGCAGCGTCAACCAAAGCTTTTTTTCCCGACGCGCACGATACGCCACTGTACCAGACCTTGGGCATGAGGTGGAGTAGATAACTACCTCCCGCCCGCATTGCTATTGCTGTTGCTTCCTTCTTCGAAATGTTATCGGCGGAAAATCAAACCCATGGCGGTCGACAACACCGAGCTTGCACTTGCCGCTCATGGTCTTCTGACATTCGTGCGTCAATACAAACTTTTTTCCCGGGGCATTCGGCACCTCACGGCGGCAGACTTTGGCATTGCCCACAGGCCCATGCCATCACCTCCTCCCGGATACCATGCATGAGGCAACTCGTCTAGTATTCGTCGAGATATCGATGAACACGGTGCCTTCCAATCGAAGCTGGAGAGGGGGTCTGCGAAGGAGCTGAAGGGTAGGTGCTTGACGTGGATTGACGGCGCCGCGAAAATATTGTTCGACACTCTTGTCGCGAAGTAGGCTTGTAGACGTTTGCTCCAGATCGCGCGAGTATTGTCAAAAGCAAGACTTTCCAAAGGATTTGCGCAACCTTTTCCTCCCAGAAAGAGCGTACACGAAAAAAGTTGAGAGAAAAAATCGCAAACGTTCACATATCTAGCAACTGTACGCTCCTATGTAAAGCGGTGTTAAGACAGGAACATGGCGTGCCAACGAATCGATGTCCATGCCCCCGGACGGTGCTGAGAAAGGCAGAGGTTGCGCGAGGCAAGGGGGCTTACTCCACGTTCCAAGTCTCCATAACCACCTGAGGCATTAGAATACTCTGGCACGCGTTGGCCCAAAGCTAGCTCGGAGCCGAGAGCAAATAGCAGCGCGCCACTGCGTACAACATGGTCGTCGTCGACACTGCTGTCACTCTGTTGTTTTCGGCGCAACCGCTTTGTCGCGGAAATTGCAGCCTTCATCGCTGTGGCTATGGTTTCTTGGTGTCCTCAAGAACACATCCCCACGATGGGTTCCATCGGGAAGAACACAACAAACACGGAAGCGGAGTCGAACGCCGTGCTAGACGTGGACGTCGTAGCCAGCGCTGGCGGCTGCAGGGCCAGAAAAATAATCTCACCCGTCGTTCCACCAATCGAACCCGTCGAATAACTGGTACCACCCGTATTGCCCCGCAACCGCAAGAACCACGGAGACGAGCATGATGGTCAGCGCCCTCACGCGGCCCACCAGAGGAGCGTTGGCGCCATCGCCGCCCCCTGCGTTCGTACAGCTGCCGCACGAGAACGCAACGTACATGAGAAGTTGATTGAAGCCAAACGAGCACCACAAGGGAAAACACGGCCAGATGAACACAAAACGCAGAATATGGAACAAGTTGTGTATTCCCTAAATGGGATGCAATGATTCCATTCACAAAAGATCTGGAGAGAAAATCCAACAGGGAAATCGACCTCGCCACCGCTTCGGCCCCGGACAGCATGGACGCAATCTATAGCGTGGACACCGTGGTCAACGATCAGGGTGTCCGCAAGCGGCTTCCCGGCAAGAATTGCCGCAGCCGCTGGGCCGCGTGGGGCCGACACCCTGGCTCTCGATGGCTGCCTCCGTATCGGGTACCTGGTAGCGGACCGCTCCGAGGCGATGAACCTGTCGGGCCCGGTCGCCCTCGTCAACCGCCGGCACGTACGCGTTGACGAGGGCGACCGGGCCCGACAGGTTCATCGCCTCGGAGCGGTCCGCTACCAGGTACCCGATACGGAGGCAGCCATCGAGAGCCAGGGTGTCGGCCCCACGCGGCCCAGCGGCTGCGGCAATTCTTGCCGGGAAGCCGCTTGCGGACACCCTGATCGTTGACCACGGTGTCCACGCTATAGATTGCGTCCATGCTGTCCGGGGCCGAAGCGGTGGCGAGGTCGATGTCGAGGAGGGTGCCACTCATGATGACGAAGATGGAAGAGCGGAGAAGCGAAGAGAAAAAGTAGAAGTAGAGAAACCGGAAAAACACGCTGCTGCTCAACAGAAAACGTAGGGAGAAAGGGATACCCACACGAGAGGCGACGTGCGCACCGCCCTCAGGTCGCAAGAAGGGCAAGTCTGCGCTGACGACCGAACGGTCTCAACCAGTGTTCCCTGTTGTTATCTCTCTGTTTTCCTGTCGAAGCAGGGTGCCACATTGCAAAGTGAGAGCTGACCTCGTCCTCTCATAATGTTGGCTCTTTACTGCGTGACACATCTGGACATGATTGCATCTTTGCCCACCTTGGTTCTTGATACTACAGGTCTGATTGAGGCTCTGAACTTTATCGATGGTATTGATTGCGAGTGGCGCAGGCTCACGACAGATCTATGCATGCACAAACTGAATCCTCGTAACAAAAAAATAATAGGGCTTACAAGTAGGGCTTAGAATGACGTTGGATAGATCAACGCCAGGTGGCGGTTCCGAGTAGTTTATGGTGACCCATGCAGTCGTCACCATGGTTTCCTAGATGTGGAGTGGTGGAATTTGGCCGAAATATTCAAATAGGATCGTTGCGAGAATCTCGGGATGATTTCGCCTTACGCCAAGACACATGTGATGGCGCTACAGCACAACGATTCCACATCGGATCTGGGTACCCGTTGTTATGTCTGTTGAGTCCGCGTATGTAGAGTTCTCGAGGCTCGATGTCTTACCTGTACAGTACTCTCAAGTCCGTAAATGTGGGCGCCTTCTGCACTCACAGGAACAAACCATACCATATGCATGGCGCGGCCGATGCTAATAAAAAAAATAAACACGCGTTACAGATGTTTGGTCATTTGTGTGGAGTAACGAATGCGCATAGAATTATCCTTGGGAAAGGACAGAGCGAGCAGGCAGCTGTAGAAAAATACCTGGGGTCACGACACCACAGGGTATGCCCTGGTCGAAAAGCGACACACTTGGGTACACAGTCATTCACAGCAGCAAATGCACTCGTATCATAGGTCAGCGCCCAATTTCACCCCGGTGCGTCCGACAAGGCGCAAGGTATACCCTGCCGTGACTACTTTTCTCAACAACTATACCCTATTTTCGGAAGTGTACCCTGACCTGACGAGAAAAGGGACCCTTTTATCAATCATTTCCCCTGCAGGAATCTTCCCAAATCCTTTTCCCCTCCAACCATGAGATACCAAACGACAAATCTTCCCGCCCAACAACAACGATGGCAACGGGGCAGGAATCGGTTCCGTCCCTGATAAACAACACCAACCATACACTCTTCCGCTCTGAATCAACAATGGCTGGGCAATACCCCAGCAAAATTGTTCCGCTTGGCAACATGCACACACGCGTACAATACCCCGTGGACTACTGCTTGCTGCACTTTATATGCGAGATGCACGGGTCACGCTATGAAAGCGAGACCGATCCAGCACAGTTGACATGCATAGCATGTGCCAATGTGTGGCGCTGTGCTGGCGGCGAGCTCGCGCCCGCAACGAGGGTGGAGGGGAGAGGCAGGCCAGCACACACAGACACGCCCTTGACATCAATCACGCACACACGAGTCTTCTCCTTACTCTAGCAGCAGGACACTGCTGTGTCGTGCAACTCGATCACCCTCCCTGTCGGTGGAGAGAAGAAAGAGTGCTCGCGTTGTATTTGATCGGCTCATCCCGCTGAAGCCTGACGTCTACATACTGCATTGATTGATGGTCGGCTTGGCTGGAAAGCGTGACCGCTGCCGCTACAGCAGTAGTTCAAGAAAGAAACACATCGCGATTGAGACACAACAGACAACGCACGCACGCACACACGGTACATCGCAATTGAGACACAACATACAACACACGCACGCACACATGCATGTGCATGTCAACCATGCTGGATCGTTCTCGCTTTCACAACGTGACCCGTGCGTCTCGCATGGAGACTCCGTTGCCATGGTTGTTATTGGGCGGGAAGATTCGCCGTTTGGTGTCCCATGGTTGGAAGGGAAAAGGAGTTGGGAAGATTCCTGCGGGGGAGATGATTGATGAAAGGGTCTCTTTTCCCGTCAGGTCAGGGTACATTTCCGAAAACAGGGTATAGTTGTTGAGAAAAGTAGTCACGGCAGGGTATACCTTGCGCCTTGTCGGACGCACCGGGGTGAAATTGGGCGCTGACCTATGATATGAGGGCATTTACTGCTGTGAAAGCTGTTGTTGTTGTTGATGTTGTTGTTTCTCACATGAGCTCTATAGTCCACAAAAAATGGGGAGCCCGTGGTCTCAAAACCCGGCACATACGACGAGGCGATGAAACAAAACAAAAATAGGCTACAAACCACTCGGGAAAAAAAATAAAATGATACAGTAGAAAGAAAATAACAGGTACCGCACCGACCGTTCGAGAAAAGAGCCCTCGGAAACCGATCAAAATAAACAATAACAAAAATATGGTAGACGAGGACGCTTCCCACACCCGCCTAAAGAAAAAGTCATAGGGTAACGCACCAGCACCAGGCACTACGCACCAGGGCATGGGAGTAACGGAGCAAACAGGACAAAGAGGCGGCAGATGGGCAGACAGCCAGACGTACAAAACAAAAGCAACAGAAAAAGCGAGATCAAGGTACCCAACACAGCAGAGTAGGCCGGAATGTGTACCTAGGTGTGTCGCTTTTCGACCAGGGTATACCCTATTGTGTCGTTTCCCAAAAACTTCTACCGGTACAATACCTACATTTTTCTCTCTCTCGATGATAAGTAGCTAGTATAGAAGACTGCTGTGGTCTCAAAATATCCGCCGCACTTTCCTGAGTAACGTAAACACAGCACGTGCTCATTCGTCTTTGCGTTCGTGTGTACGTTCAAAATTGGGATGCGCTAGCTCCTTGCTCGTCCTCGTCCAACTCCCTCAGCAGGTGTTTGTTGGTGCCTTCACGTCTTCACCGCGAGGAGCACATTTGTTTCCGATACAGTTGTCCCCGCTTTAAAGACACCATTTTGAAAGACACTCCCCGCTTTAAGGACACAAGAAAATCTCAGAAACATTGTGCCCCGCAGATGTGAAAAAGTAGGGGGGTTTTCCACCATTCGACCGCCCCCAGAAAATGTGCGGCAGCACCTGTAGATCCTGGATCATCAACAGCGGTCTGCTGCAGCCGTACACTGCGTGTGGGTGTATGGAAAGATTCATTCCATCTGCTAGCNGGTTCGTCAGTGTCCGTGCGGACGACCCATGCACGCGTTTTGTGGTCGGGGCATCGGAGAGGAAGGCCACGGACAGCAGAGAGAGTGCTCGGATTGCCAGAAGAGGAGAGGTGGAGACCAGGCTGGCAGCAGCTGCAGTCCCATGGAAGTGGAGGACGAAGACGTCGAGCAGCACAGCGACAGGTGAATTTTTACAGCAGTTCCTCCGCGAAACTGCGGATGTGTGTGTGTGTGTGCGCGCGCGTGCGTGCAGCAGTGGCTCTCTGCAACGACGCCGCGAGCACGCGTCGCGATACCGCGGTACTACTGCTGTACCACGATTCCCGCCCGTGAACCAGAAACAATGTTTCGCACTTGCATTCGCTATTTTGCTTCTAGAAAAAATACAGTTTGCACCCATGGCCTTTTTCGTGCTGTGGGACACGAGAAGCTCCGAAAGATGCTGCTCGTGAAAATTGTTGTGTGCCTTCAAAAATGGCGTCAACTCTCTGCGTTGGAAAGAGACATGGTCTCCCGAGTCACACAAAACCCCTCGCAACATGTCTTCAGCGCTGCACCCTCCCCTTCCACACGCGCCTTTCTCGCTTCAGTGACGACGTGTGCTGTGCATATGTGTAAATGTTGCGCACGAAATATTGTAACCTACGGAGTATCACATTTGCAAAATACTTTTAATAAGGTCTTTTGGGTCGTCTATCTTTGCAAGTGGTTTTCCAGCGAAGGACAAGAACTGTAGTATTTTTTTTTAGTATGTAGTACAATGTTTCTGATCTAATTGTCACGCATTCAATTTTTCCACTTTTCTCTAATGACCGCAGCACTACACAACCGTCTAGAGAGGAGCAGCCATCGCTCGGAGGAAAGGGGAAACGACGTGCCGCGGCTGATGCTGGGTCGGGTGGTAGCGCGGGGAAACGGGCTACACCTGGTCCTGGCAGCAGCGCGGGCGGCAACACGGGCAGCACCCCCGGCGGCAGCGCAGGAGGCAGCAAGGGCGGCGGCAAGGGCGACAGCGCCGGCGGCAGCGCGGGAGGCAGCGCGGGAGGCAGCAAGGGCGGCAGCAAGGGCGGCGAAGCGAAGCCCAGATCAGACCACAGCAAGAACAAGCTGACAATCGCGCAGCGATGGAAAATCGTTGAGGCCGTCCGAGGCGGCCGGCAAAGGAGCAAGGTTGCGGCAGACTACAATGTGGGCAAGGCATACGTCAGCAAGCTGATGAAACCCCCCATGATCGCCGCGCTTGAGAAGGCCCGTGACATGGAGCACAACATGGGCGCCAAACGCACACCAACGCCGGTACACTCGGAGTTAGAGGCTCGTTTGAGCCAGTGGATCAAGATTGCACGACAACGATTTGAGGTAGGGACCCCACGTCGTTCGGTCATTTTTCTTTTTTACATCTCTGGCCGCCTCGTTTCCTGTCTGTTACACAGCAGTAGCCGGCGTTGTTTTGTTGTTGTACAACCTGTTGCAGCAGGTAGGATGATAAGTTGAGAGCCACCTGAATGCTTACATGGATTCCAAACAACCGCCAACATCGCTCGAATATCCACTTCTGCTGCTGCAGCCTCACGATCATGCAGACAACCAAGCTCGAGTTGAGCGGTATCATGATCCAGACCCAGGCCACGAAGGTCGCGGCGGAGATGAACGTGACCAACTTCACCGTGAGCAACGGCTGGCTACATCGCTTCCTTTGTCGCTACGGCCTCGTGCATATCAACCTGCACGGGGAAGCTGGTGACGTGAACAAGGCTGCGGCTGAGTAGGAAATCGCGCAGATTCGGGAGCAGCTTGAGGGCTTTCGACGTCGAGTTGATCTTCAACATGGACGAGACGGGGCTTTTCCACCGCTGTTCCAGAGGGGCACGTATGTCACGAGGCCAGAGGGTGCAGCGGGACTCAACCAGAAGAACGCGCGGGGATCGAAGGCCATGAAGGCCAAGGATCGGTGCACTGTTGTCGCCAGCTGCAACACCACCGGGTCGCTCAAGGTGCCGCTGGCCGTCATCCACACGGCGAAAGACCCCATGGTTTTCCGCCACGTCCGCAAGCCAGCTTGCCCCTACTACGCCCAGAAGAGTGCCTGACTGGACTCTGCACTCTGCCAGCGGTGGTTCGACAAAGTCTTCGTCCCCTTTGTCAAGAAGACGACTGGGAAGAAGGTGGCTCTCTTGTGGGACAACTGCCCAGGCCACCGCATCAAGAACGACGACCCGCAAATCGTCATCATCTTTCTGCCCCCCAACGTCACGTCCGTCTTTCAGCCTATGGACATGGGGATCCTGTTTGCTCGCAAGTGCCAGTACAAGACGGAGATGGTGATGAGGTTGGCGGCCCTCATCGAGGACTGGGATACAGCGCGTGCGCGCAAAATCCGATTACNCTCATCGAGGACTGGGATACAGCGCGTGCGCGCAAAATCCGAAGGTAAGACTGTGTTGTGGGGGCGGCGAAGGTAGTGATTCGTTCTTGTGGCTGCGGGTTCAGTTGTGTTGGTGCTGGTCAGGCGAGTGTTGTTCGACAACAGTTGGTGCAGGCATGTACCGGATTACTACCGTAGGCGAGTGCCATTCAACAGCAGTCAACAGCACTAGTGCTGCCTCAAAAAGGTCTCCGATCAAAATATGCCTGCCCTACACCGCATCCAGCGAAATCCACTCGCTCTCTGGTGATTAACAATCTTTCCTTTTTTTTTTACCCTGTGTTCCTTGCATCATTGTTTCGANACTGGGAAGATACCTATATCCTGGTTTCCACAGTGTTCCTTGCATCATTGTTTCACAGGGGCTACAGGGGCCTGAACGACGCAGGCCAGCCGACAATGCTGGATGTGACGGAGATCCTTTCCCAAAAGTGGGAGAGCGTTTCGGACCAGACTGTGATCAGGTGCTGGCTCAAGGCCACCATTCTTCCTGGGGAGCACGAGAGCGCGCTCAAGGACAAAGACACGCGGTTGGACAGAGGAAACCCAGAGGCGGCCGCCCTGGACGACCATGCCGGAGAGTGCCAAGGACCTGGACGCTAGGTCTAAGCCGCGAGTGTTGACGGACAACTTGTTCGTCGAGAGCGCCTCTGGCCTCACAGAAGAAGAAATGCGCAGCGCAATGCGCACTTGGCTTAGTGTAGAGGACGATGAACAGGACTTGAGGGATGAGGTGGAACTCGAGATGGAAGAGGTAACGGAGAACATGTCAAACGTACAAGTCGAGGAGGACGTGTCCAGTGAAGAGGAAGGCGATCACGGTAGGCCAGTCGTGCATTAATCTACGATTTCAGAGGGCGAGGTTCGCTCTCGTCTCGAAGGTGTCCGCTCTTACTTGAACACACATGGAAGAGACGACGAGTACAGCGAAACGGCGTACCTTCTTTCGAAGACTGTGCATTCGTTTACTCATGAGACTCAGGTCAAGCGAAGAGCAAAGGAGGGGGGGGAGGTGCAGGCGACTCTTTGGGGGGATATGTGGCGGGTGTAGTTTTTGGTTTCGAGAGCAAAGCACTTGTATTGCCAACATTCGTTGTTTGCCTTGGGTGAAGTCTCGTGAGGTTGAACTTGGCGTTTGTGTTGTGCTGCGCCTCGTTTTGACCTTTTGGGAGGCGCCGTGTCCGCTTTGTCGCTGTGCTTTCCCGACATTTTTGGTCTCTGTGTTTCTGCGTAACCTACATTTTCCTAGTGTCGTTTTTACAACCTTCAATATTTCTCAGGTGCGGTAGCGAGATCTTTGGCAAGATAATAACGGGGAGGACAACGCCTAAAACAAAAAACAAAGCATATAATTAAGCCCATATCAACACCAGCGCACTACCGTTGTGTACATGTACGTACGGTCGCCCCGGTGGTCTAGTGGGTAACCTCGCAGCGTGCAAGGGCCAGGTCATGGGTTCGAGTCCCGGCAGAGTGAGTTTTCTCACTAAATAAATCCTGGTCTAGGATGAAAGCGACGTTCTGCAAAGTTCGTTGTTAGTAAACCATAATCGACTTCGTAAGTCGCGAGGGAAGGGATTGCTGTACCCTTCTCGCGATAAAAATACCTCAGGCAGGAACCGCAGGAGGGGGTCCAGCCCCCCCCTCCTATGTGACCCCGATTGGGTCGTCTACCTAGTAGAAGTGGAGGATAGGGGCCAGAGGGGCAGACGACAGAGTCCAATGACGGCAGACAAAAACAAAAAAACATGTACGATGCGTACGTCGTAGAACACCATCGCTTTCAGCGTTTTGGTGGTACAGTACGGGGAAATTCAAACGATGGTATGCAAGTATGTGTTGCAGCACAATAGCAGCAGTGGTTGCGACCTTCAAAACACCTTGTGTCGTAGGTTTCAAACAACACCTCTTGTGGTCGCCTTTCTGCTGCGAATGCGCACCTTTTGACATATGTTTCGCCTTCATTGGCCGCAGAAATGGTGCGTTAGTGGCCCCGAAATATTAAAGACTTCCCCGCGTTGAAGACACTTATTGGGGGGGGAAACGTGGTGTGTCTTTAAGGGTACCCAGACAAGGGATTTTGACGCTGGCTCTTTTCTCATACTTTATAACAGTACAAAGAAAGAAAACAACCTTCCCGCCGGAGGAACCTGGTCCGTTGTGCTAGTATCAGTAGAGGATATCATCAAGAGGCGTCGTGCGTGCTGGCACGTTCAGGTATACTACTGGGGCTGAAATATCGAAGGTCGCAGCAGCCTCTGAAAACGGTCCGAAATCTGCGCCGGAACCAAGCGGAACCCAACACTTGTCACAGCGGTGCTCACCACCACGGACCGCAAACCCCTCAACTGCGGGTTGTCAGCAGTAGCTGGTGGCATCAGCTACTGCTGTAAACCTGCAGTTCAGAAGATTGGGTTCAGTGGCGGCGAGCACAAGCAGTACAAGACACTGGGTGCCGATCTAACTTGCGGAGATTTGCGGAGATTGTGGGCCACTACAACGACACTCGATACCACCACCACAGAAGAAGTTTTGAGCGCGCCAACACACCCCCCCGCTGCTATAGGGTGTCCTCTAGTGATATTGGTACAATGGACCAGGTTCCTAGCAACACCGGCCTTATTTGAGCGCCTTCCGTTTGGGCTCTTTTGACTTGAATTTAGACTGGTGTGGATTTTTATCTTGGTTTCAAAGGATGCGTGTGGAGGTAGACGCGCGAAAAGCACGTTTTGAGCGGTCTCTACTGCTGTCCTGTGCCAGAATTTTGGACTTGTTTTTTTTGCGATGCCTTCCGACTGGTCTTATGTGTCTCAAGTGCATTTTCTGGCGCTCTTGCGTTTGTTTTCGAAATTAGGCAACATAGCAGGAGGTTGCCCGGGTACCCTTAAAGCGGGGTCGACTGTACACCAACATGTCTGCACATGCTGAAAGTAGCGTTTCTCCTCGGTTGCGGGCGCTATATGACCTGATTGTGAAAGCTAGAGATCAAATTTCTGGCCCTACTGAGAGCTGCTGTGCGGATCGTTCCACATGCATTCCATGCAGCCTGCTGGCTATATGACCTGATTGTGAAAGCTAGAGATCAAATTTCTGGCCCTACAGAAAGCTGCTGTGCGGATCGTTCCACATGCATTCCGTGCAGCCTGCTGGTTCCTTAGCTAGCATTCAACAATGCGGACCGTCGTTGCAATGTGCGCATTTGACATCGGCCCGGTGAACAACACGGCAGTCTACATCATCATTGTCCGAACCTCAGCAGAGGAAACTCACCATCCCAAGCAACTGCAGCAGATGCTGGCGACACTGACGCATGTCTGGCACGCCGCACAGGCGAGACAGGCACCCATTCTTGCCTCCTGTTATCTGTTCTCACTCGCTCTCCCTCCCCTCTGCGCTGAGCTCGCTCTTGTCGGCTATTAGAGCAAGTCCCCGCTGTTGGCACCGCAGCCTCCCTTCCCCCTTGCAAAACCAGACGGCACCCTCCGAATCTTTTGACAGGAGCTACACCAGTCAGCAGGAAGCAAGACCAGCCAGTAGAGAAGGGTCAACAGCACCACACGCAGCAGCGTCTTAAGAGAGGCAGGGGCATACAGCACGAGTACACCCTTAGCTCTCAATTGTAAAACCGTTTCTCAAAATTTGGAGAACCGTCTGCGGATCGATCCGCGTGGGAAATGGTTGGTAGGCATCCTGATTGTGCGGAACCCCCTTGTCGGCGAGTTGGGGTCCTCCCACGAGCGGGTGCTGCATCAGGTTAAGTTCTTGATTTAACTCCTCCTTGTTGGGGTGGCTGATCAGGGATCAAACCAGGAACCAAAACGCAATCTTCTGACAAGGTAAGTCGGCGAATAAGTTGAGGGGGCAGTGCTTGTGGCAGTCCAGCTAACTGGACGGCAACTACGTGGTGGTCGGATAAATTTTGCGGAACGTGGACCCTCGTCTCTCTCGCTTGACAGGTACCACGAAGACTTCATGATAATGTATGCATAGCCCATTACAGAGTTGATACGATAGCTTTGACAATGTATGCGAGCATGTCGTGAAAGTAATCAGTCGTGCGCGTCCACGGTTTCCCTCCAATGCTCTACCCTCTCCCCATTTTGTTGTGTTATCGGCGATGGGCATCGAGGGCGTATTGCAACAATAGTCCCGCCGCCTGCCAGAATTCTGCATACCTATTCAGATGTGAAATTCATTTGCTGTCGCACCTGTGAATCTCTTCTGGCCGATGTGCATACCCGTCAAATGTGAAATTCATTTGCTCTCGCACCTGTGAATCTCTTCCGGCCGATATGTTGCTGGCACCCTCACGCTCCTTCACTCATCCATCCTTCACTGTTCGACCGTCGAACAGAGCGGACTCATTCTATCCGCCGTGTGGATGATATCCTCGTCGGCGAATCACAGGAAAATATCAATGATGATGTGTCTTCGACGTATAGACTATGAGCAATGAGTTATTTTCTTGTAAGCGATCAACGACTCGTACACGGTGTGTGATCACGCGAGCGATAGCGCACGGGATGTGGCGTCATTCGATCTTGCCCCCAGTCACACCCGGATTGCGATAGTCCTACGTAGGAGTGGAAGTGCTGTAATTTGATTCGTGCCAAGTCCAATACAACCCGTAACGTGCGAAAGACCCTCGTGTGCCACCACGTGCTTGCCATCACGTGCCTGATAGGTGCAGGCACAGTAACGGCCGCAGCTCTCGCAGAACCTTCCATGGCACTGCCGTGCTCGCCTCTCGAACTGACTCACTGCTGTGTTGTTGTTGTTGGGTTCCCCCAACATCCAGAACGTGTGCTTCTGTTGACCGTCACAGCGATGCCCTCAAGTTTGGAACGCGCGCATGTCGCCTGTCTTCTTTCTTTTTAGGATGAAATTCACACCTTTCGCTCGACATTGCTGCCGGCAGCAGTTGTAGCGTCGTGTGTTGCGGACGGCGAGGGACGACAACTACGGTCGCCCATTCGTACGGAATTCTGCACTCTCTCTGTTCGATCCGGGTACCATTCGAGTTTTTTTCCATAGTGGCATGCACAAGCACAGAGGACAGGCGAAGCTGGAAGTGCGTTATCCACGTCGGTACTGCGGCTGCGTGTGCGGCAGTGCCCCCTTCGTCATGCCTTTCTCCGCGGTCCACCCCAAATCGACTTTTTCTTGGAAATGTTATTCATACTAGAAGTAGAGCACCACCACCCTGAACCAAACCCAGGACAAATAGGTACCCGCCATCCTCGCATAGTGGTCCTAGCAGGCCACCGATGTGATCACAGGAACAACACGAGTTGGCTGTGCCGAGCGAATGGGTTTACCTGGCGCAAGTAGATGCAGGCGTGCTTCAAGCTCGGGTCCCAGAACGAGATCCTTCGCGGCCTATATACGTACTGCGTTCTTGCCTGTTCTCCAAAGATTCTCACCTCCAGCCATTTGCCTGTTCCGCCACCGCATTTGCCCTCCCGAACAACAAGTAGCACAATCGCCAGGGCAGGAGGAAGAAGTGCGGGCGAAAAACAAGAGAACATTGTTAAAGTCATGCCGGACCTGAGCGATTTCGGCGGGCTGGGCGGCATTAGCGGGGCCGCCGGGGGCCTTGGTGCCCTCGCGTCTGTCGCGGGGAGCGGCGGTCGTTCGCACGGTGGAGGCGGAGGGCTCGGAAACCTGGGCGGGCTGGGCGCGATGGGACTGCTCGCGGGTATGGCGGGCGGCGCTGCGGCCGGCAGAGGGCGCCGCAACAACCGCCACCATCGGAACAACCACTGCGGCGGTGGGGGATACCACCATGGCCACGGCGAGTGTTTGACAATATTCTCTTTTGTTTGTGTGATCTCTCCGCTTGCTACGCCGCTCTGCTCTTGTTCCGCTGTTCGAGTCGGATTCTGACCACCGTTTCTACGCTCGTGGTGCTCTTGTTCTGGTTGGTATTGTCTCCATGTTTCAAACCGGGTCCGGTCCCTGCGGGGTACCCTGAAACGTCTGTGCCGGTCAAACGGACACGAACTCCTTCCACGAGCACAAGCAGAACACTCGGAAAATATTAGTACAACAATCAACTTCATGATATTCAAAGCAAGAATAAGGTGGGGGCCATGCCTAACGTAAGTTTGTTTTGTTTTTGTTTTTTGTCTCCCATCGTTGGACTCTGTCGTCTGCCCCTCTGGCCCCTATCAGCCACTTCTACCAGCTAGATGACCCAACCGGGGTCACGTAGGAGGGGAGGGTTGGACCCCCTCCTGCGGTTCCTGCCTGAGATATTTTTATCGCGAGAAGGGTACAGCAATCCCTTCCCTGGCGACTGATGAAGTCGATCAAGTTTACTAACAACGAGCTTTGCAGCGCGTCGCTTCCAACGGAGACCAGGATTAAAATAGCGAGAAAAAACTCACTGTGTCGGGGNACTCTGTCGTCTGCCCCTCTGGCCCCTATCCTCCACTTCTACCAGCTAGATGACCCAACCGGGGTCACGTAGGAGGGGAGGGTTGGACCCCCTCCTGCGGTTCCTGCCTGAGATATTTTTATCGCGAGAAGGGTACAGCAATCCCTTCCCTGGCGACTGATGAAGTCGATCAAGTTTACTAACAACGAGCTTTGCAGCGCGTCGCTTCCAACGGAGACCAGGATTAAAATAGCGAGAAAAAACTCACTGTGTCGGGGCTCGAACCCATGACCTGGCCCTTAGCAGGCTGCGAGGCCACCCACTAGACCACCGGGGCGACCGGGTCGTAAGTGTACGCTTGCAAATACGGGTTATTTGGAGGCCTCCTCGATACCGCAAGCACAGGGCACTAGAAGCACGTGCTCAAGCCGTGGAAGCACGCTGCAATGCTGACTATTGGTCACGACTAATATGCCCATGGATAAAGATGGAACTGCGAAGCTTGCCGGCTTCATCATGGTCAATTTTCCAAGGTCGTGACATTGTTGAATCCAAGCGTCTTACATGCAAGTCCGGCAGAAACATCTCGGTATCAGAACTTGCGGTTTTAAGCATCGGCGCAAGCAGCGAAGTTGTCAAGGCAACACGGGTAGCCTTGGCTTCGGCCATAGCGGGGGCCAGCAGTAGCGGATCGGCGTCCGCGCCGGGGGGTGGGGAGAAGCATAGAAACTCCAGCCATGAGCGGACAAAACACCTCGGCCACGAAATCCATACAGCACTAAGGAGTCCGTCCGCCTGCAATGCTGGAACGATTCATTGAGATCACGCTCGCACGTCGGGGATAATCATCCAACAACGTTTGTAAGACCTCTCCCCTGATTTGCATTCGGGGGCCAGGGTGGCGACCTGCATGAGTGCGGTGGGGATATACCACCCCACATGGCGGCAACGTAAGGTGCTAGGTGCTAGATGTGGTGCTAGTTGGATGCGGCAAGAATGATGCCGGGCCTTGTTGTCGATCGGTTAGGCCTATGAGTGCTGCAGCATATCGGCACGTTCAAAAACAGCTTCACTGTGTGGGTACAGTGGGTGGCCCGATATAGTGCCGGTTGAATAGTGCCGGTTGCCGGTATGGTGCCGGTGTTTTCGGCTCGCACACCGGAATATCAAGTCTTTCTGTACTCTGAATAGTGCCGGTGCCCGGTATAGTGCCGCTTTGCTCTCTGAACACATACCGGCACTATAGAGGGCCCCCTACTGTAAGTGCCACGATAATAATGGGCGCACCCACCGAGACGGAGCCCGAGCCACGACTGTTAGCAGTACATATGCATGTACAGTGGGTGGCCCGATATAGTGCCGGTTGCCGGTATAGTGCCGGTGTTTTCGGCTCGCACACACCGGAATATCAAGTCTTTCTGTACTCTGAATAGTGCCGGTGCCCGGTATAGTGCCGCTTTGCTCTCTGAACACATACCGGCACTATAGAGGGCCCCCTACTGTGTGAGGGATACCAGAATACCCATGCTGGCCCTCCCAGTCCCTCCAATCCTCAAGGCTCACCTCCAGATCAGCTCGGTGCACTTCTTTGCACACTCGAACGCCACCGCGGTGTGTATGTGGGTGCGAGTGCGCGTGCGCTAATATCACACGCAACCTCTAAATACGACAGGCGGGCACGGGGGTTTCGGTGGCGGCGGAGGCTTCGGCCACCACGGCATCGGGGGCGGCTACCACCACGGCCCGGGAGGGTTCGGGGTAGGCCTCGGCGGCATAGGAATGGGGATCAGCGGCGGCTACGGCATGGGGGGGATGGGCGGGTACCGCGGGTACGGCGGCGGCCACCACGGCTACCGCGGCTCGGCCATGAGGCTGCCTTGGATGGGGGTGCTGGCGGCGACGGCGGTAGCCAGCGGCGCGGCGGCGGCGTACCCCAGGGGCGCCAGAAGCCAGGTCACGTGGAAGGAGGGGAGCAAGCAGGTGTCCGCGCAGGTGCGTGGGTGACCGGCCGACGAATCTGACGGGACATTCGTTGTTGTGGGATGGCGGGTGTACTAAAGGTTGACACATGCCGTAGTCATTAGACCATGGGGAGGGGTGTGTGTGCTCTTTTCTGTTGACGGGATTGACTCAGCAAACTTCAGGACGAGACCACGGCACAGGGCCTGCGCTCTTTTTTCGGTGTCTCAGGAGTTTTTTTTTCCTCGCCGACACCAAACGTCACGCAACACAGGCAGCTCCCGCTAGACCACCACTGGTTCTGTCGCAAGCATGTGTAGCTCGCGCGCCTTGGCCTACTTGCCACCCTTTTGTCCAATGTCTTCGCCGTTCCCTCGCACGCGTGTCTGCGCGCGCACTTAGGTCGGAGGCTTGACGGTCAACGTGGCCTGTGCTCAAAACCTGAAGAGCGTGTCGACCATGAGCACCCAAGATCCGTACGTCAAGGCTAAGCTTCTCGTCGACGGATACCAGGTTGGTGACATTTTTTCCGAGTCGCGGCTGTTCAGGCAACGGAGCGATTCATTCAAGGCAATGAATCTGAACAGTGTGCTTATGTTTTTGACTGTTAAGGCGAAGCAAGGGGTAATCGAACTGCGACATCTGTGCCGGCAAACTCTATAGTAGAGGCACATATGACAAGAACTTAATCCCGAGAGGTCGCCCGCACGTTGGAAGTGGCTCCAAAAAGAAACAGGAACGTGGTGGGGTCTCCCCATTCTTCCACACGGACAAAGGCGTCAAGGCAGAGTGTCCGGACTTGTCATATGAACTTGTTCACGTGTGCGGACACTCCCCGGCGCGCCTCCTTGTCGCCTTGTGCCCACCTTTCGCGAAAGGTCTCCGAGGTGAAGAGCGGGACGCACAATAACGGCGGCCGGAACCCCAGCTGGGCCGGGAGGAACAACTTCTTCACCTTCTACGTGCCTTCGAACGTTCCGCTCCGGAAGCTGGCGGTCGTGCTGGAGATCTACGACTACAACACCATGTCCGCCGACAAGATGATTGGCACCTGCGGGAAGATTCCTCTCCAGGGGGTGAGCAATCCGTAAGAGAGGGGGGAGAATGCGCTTTTTGTCTGAGTTGCGACCCATTCGGACCGCTCGGATGCGCATTGTTTTCTGGGTGTTGTTTTGTGTTTCGATTTTTTTTCGGTATTCACTCTGAACGCGCGCATGCGGGTTCGTTTGTGTTGTTCATGTGAGGCACGTTTGCGTGTACCGTTGTTCGTTTTGCTGGGGTCTCTTCGTTCATTTGGCAAAATCGTCGCCCCTCGACCGTCTGTGTCTTGCTCTTACGTTTCCCAAAGAAAGAACTTCGCAGGTTCTCGGTCAGGCCACCGCTTGCGCGGTGTCTAATATTCGACAGCTTCCATTTTCCCTTCACAGGCTTCATATTTTGGCTGTGCCAGTGGAATGGGTGTCTGCTCTCCTTGCTTCCCCATCGTGGGCACAGCGCTTTGATGGTTGGTTTTGGTGGAAATATTGGGTGGGATGATGCGGTCTTGTACACAGGAACGAGCATGTTTCGTTCGGCACACGCAATCAGCTCTGCCCATCTCGACCTTCGTCGGAAAGCATCGTTGGGTTTGGCATCTCCCCCCCCCCCCCCCCCCCCCCCCCCCCCCCCCCCCCCCCCCCCCC